GGAGCTAAAAACTGAAGAGCTGTTAAGCTAGCTGTTATGATTGAAAGTGTTTGGTAAAATTAGCTTTTTGACAAGCTGATAAATGTAAAAAGACTAAAAAGAACATCTTCATAAAATTTAAATTAGTTTGTTTACATATTAAAATTTAACAATTTGTCTTTAAAAAAATTAACGTTTTGAAATAAAACTATTAGCATAATCATGATCTAGTATCTAATAATGAAGTAGCAATATTGTTGCAAATCTCATAATAATGATAATAATAATAATAATAATAATAATAATAATAATAATAATAATAATAATAACAACAACAACAACAACAACAACAATAACAATAACAATAACAATAACAATAACAATAACAATAATAATAATAATAATAATAATAATAATAATATTTGTGGTGAAAGTTGCGGATAAATTAAAGGAGAAGAGAAGGGTTTTAATTGAGAAGGGTAAATTATGTCATTTCTTTAAAATAATAAGGATAAAGAAGGAAAAAAAGTTAGGAAGTCAGGAGCTTATTTTGAAACGCTACCTAAAGTAGAGTTTCAAAATAAGCTCTTATTTTAAGCTAGCTAGGAGCTTATTTTAGGAACGTAACATTACCAAACAGAGCTTATAGCTTATTAGTAGCTTAAAATAAGCTATAAGCTCATAAATAAGTTCTGCCAAACAGAGCCTACATAGATTATGGTCCACTGTAAAATTTGTCATTGAATACCGAGGTTCAAGTGATTGTTCGAATTTGTTAAGTGGATGTCCGGCTTGGGCACCTACTACCCTTGTTCTTTATGCTTATCAATGGCTTTCCATCACAAGGGTGAATCTTTCGTCCAAGGGTATAGGGCAACTTCACTTTCATCATCCTCTAGTACTCTTTGTCTTGATTTATATTGTTTTCACTATAACAATATAATCACAAATAATAATACTACTTTTAAACTTTTTGTATAGAATCTATTTTATTCAGTTTATTTTACTTGTCATGTTAATAATTATTGACCAAATCAACATTTTTTTACTTGTCATTTTATTTTTCTTATATAATATATATATATATATATATATATATATATATATATATATATATATATATATATATATATATATATATATATATATATATATATATATATATATATATATATATATATATATATAGATTAGCGCTCAAATGCGGCAGTGGCTTTAGGTGCGACGGTGCGGCTATATCAGCATCGTCCATTTTGCTTAATCTAACGGCAGCGGCTAATTTCTGAAGATTTAAAGATTTAAGCGCGTCCTGATAAGTGTGGTTGTTATGGTAATTGTAGTGGTCATTTATATCGGCCGCTTGTCAGAATACACCAACAGTGTTAACAAAAGACACCAATAGTGTTAGGAAAAAGCACCACAATGAAATACACAAATACACCAAAAAACACACAACACACTCAAAAAATACACCATATAACTCACCACCCCAATGGTGTATTTCTGAACACTGTGTGGTGCTTTTATTCATACCTAATGGTGCGTTCTGGTGATGCAAATCTAATTTGTGACACGTTTTTTTGGTGTGCATTTTCTAACATGGATGGTGTATATTTGTATAACTATTAGTGCACCCGCACTGACCGCATGGGAAGGCGCGGGCGCACCTAAACTTGGCACCAACACGAATCCTCAAATACACCACAGTAAGGTTAATAATGCACCAATAACGAACATAAAACACACAACACTATGATTTGATCTATTCATGTGCCCAATGACGACTTTAACCTTGCAGTTCGCGTAGTTTGAGAACGTGCGCGAAAATATCGGAAAAGCCTGGATGAATGTGATTCGTTGAATTTATCTAATCTAATGGCCTACATTTAACCGGACCGCCGCACCTAAGCGCACTGCGGCACTTGAACCTTCCTCTATATATATATATATATATATATATATATATATATATATATATATATATATATATATATATATATATATATATATATATATATATATATATGCGGGTTCAGGTGCGGCTATTTCTTACGTTGCGGCAACACCAATAGTTCAACAAATATGCACCATCAACGTTAGGAAAATACACCACACAAAACAGAGTAAACAGAGTCCTGCATCACCAAACACACACCATTAGGTGTGAGTAAAAACACCATACACTGTTCGAAAATACACCATTGGGGGTGGTGAGTTATATGGTGTATTTTTTTGAGTCTGTTGTGTATTTTGTGATGTTTTATTGCATTTCATTGTGGTGTGTTTTTATTACACTGTTGGTGCATATTGTTAACACTGTTGGTGTATTCTGGAATTTGACCGCACCGCCGCACGGTAAGACCCCGCCGCATATGAGCGCTCTTCTCTCTCTCTCTCTATATATATATATATATATATATATATATATATATATATATATATATATATATATATATATATATATATATATATATATATATGGAAGGGTTCAGGTGCGGGTATAGCTTCCCGTGCGATTGTGCGGTTAGATCTGAGCCGTTGATCAAATTTATATCAACGGCTCAAATCAATGAAAAAAAATGCGCGCACCTTAAGTGATAGAAACACGAACCTTACGTGTTAGATCTTAAGCACAAACTCACGCACATTAAGTACAAAACCCACACTTTAAGCACAACCTTATGCACATTAAGCTCAAAACTCACGCACTTTAAATATTAACTCACAGACTTTAAGTTTCAACAACTACTAAGCACAAACTCACGCACATTAAGTACAAAACACACGCACATCAACCTCACGCACTTTAAGTATTAACTCACAGACCTTAAGTTTCAACAACTACTGACATTAATTACTAACCTCACACACATTAAGCACAAACCCTACGCACATTAAGCACAAACTCCACTCACATTAAGAACAAATCTCACGCACTTAAGCACAACAGTCCACACTTTAAGTTTTAACAACTACTCACGTTAAGCACAACCCCACGCGCATTAAGCACAAAACTCACACCTTACGCACAAACCTCACGCATCTTATATACAAAACTCACGCACATTAATCACAGATCCGCTCACCTTAATTTTGACCAAGATGCAAAAATTACAAAATTGCCATCGCGTTTTTTTTTTAAATTTTGGCAATCCTGAACATTGAATTAAGCGAGATGAATGGCCCAGATTAAACCGCACAACCGCACCTGGGCACCCTAACCGCACCAGAACCTAATTATATATATATATATATATATATATATATATATATATATATATATATATATATATATATATATATATATATATATATATATATAAGGAAGGGATCAGGTGCGGGAATGGCTTCCCGTGCAATTGGACGCACATTAAACATTAAGCTGACGCACATTAAGTACACAACACACGCACATTAAACACATAAACAAAACACTTTAAGAACACTAATCTCACGTGCATTAAGCACAAAACTCACGCACCTTAAACACAAAACTCATGCACCTTAAGTTTCAACAACTACTCACATTAAGAGCACAAATCTCACGCATATTAAGGACAAATCTCATGCATATTAAGCACAAAACTCATGCCCCTTAAGTTTCAACACTACTCACATTAAGTACACAGCCACGCACCTTAAGCACAAAATCCACACCTTAAGCACAAGACTCACGTACCTTTAGTGCAAAACTCACGCACATTAATCACCACACAAGAACTTAATTCTATATATATATATATATATATATATATATATATATATATATATATATATATATATATATATATAGGGATGGGATCAGGTGCATTTGTTGCTTCCCGTGCGGATGTGCGGTGGATTAATGTGCGTGAGGTTTATACTTAATGTGCGTGAGATTTGTACTCAATGTGCCTGAGATTTGTACTTAATGTGCGTCATGTTAATATGCGTGAGTTTTGTACTTAATGTGCCTGAGTATTGTGCTTAATATGTGTGAGATTTGTGCTTAATGTGCGTGAGTAATTCAGAATTACGAGCTCAGAAAGAAGCAGAACAGAAAACTCACGCACATTAAAGCCCAAGCTTCTTGTTACTTCTTCCTTCAAAAACTCTTTCTGTTTCTCTCTTCTCTTGGAAACCTTTGCAGTGCTGCCTTAGCTTGCTTATGTATGTTATGCTGCTGTGTTGAGTTCGTTCTTGCATATTGAGTGTCCTCAGAAACTTCCAAGATTAAGCGCCATTTTTTCACGAAAACCTGCAATTCGATTCTCCGTAAATCACGCGGGAACTTCGGCGAAGGGTGATCGACCCCATTGGGAAAGCAGAAACTGACATTCATATTTTCTGCTGCATTTTACACATTCACGCACATTAAATACAAATCTCAGGCACATTAGACACAACACTCACGCACATTGAGTACAAATCTCACGCACATTAATCACCCGCACAATCGCACGGGAAGCATTCAACCGCACGGGAACCTTTCACTATATATATATATATATATATATATATATATATATATATATATATATATATATATATATATATATATATATATATATATATATATATATATATATATATATATATATATATATATATATATATATATATATATATATATATATATATATATATATATATATATATATTGTATTTTAATTTTAATTTTAATTTTTAGTTGAATAGTAATTTTAGTGTAATTAATTTTTATCTATATGAATTTTATACATTAATACTAAACTAAATAATATGAGAACTTGCATTGTAAACAATTTGAAAAAATTGATTATTAGTTATTCATTATATTATTCTAAAATTAAAATACAGTCATTATTATCTTGTTAAAAAAATAAAAATGGTCATAATCGAAAATGAGGAAGACAGGCGGCAAAGCCGGCTAATGGGATATGTTAATTGTCAGAGTTTGCTTCACAAAAAGGGAATTAACTACAAACTCCAAACTCCAAACTCCAAACTCCATCCCTTATAAGTATGGACTACTCTTTCTATGCCATTCATTCAACTCATTCTCCTAACTTAACCCTGTAAAGCAATTTAAATTTGACCTTAACTTCATCTCCATCTTTCTTCTCTTCTTTCTTTCATTATATTCCTTAAACACTTACTATTTCTTTTTGTTGTTGTTCTCATCTTTCACATTATATTGTTGGCCTCTCTCTCTCTCTCTCTCTTTTTGGTCTTTGTTGTGTCTCCGCCTTCTGATACAAGCTTAGTTGCTTGCAACAATTAAGCAAAAAGGGAGGGAATTGAAATAAAGATGGCGGCTGGATATGAAGAAGTTGGTGTTGCAGAACTGTGTCTTCTTCACACTGACCCTTTCATCTTGGAGCTCACCAGTCTGCAGAATCAACTCAAAGGTTTATCCTCTCTCTCTCTCTATATATATATATATATATATATATATACATATATATATATATATATATATATATATATATATATATATATATATATATATATGTGCATGTGTGCATAACACACTAGCAAAACCATTCCTGTGAATTTTCAATATTAGAATAAGGAAAATGTTTCTTACTGCTCTTTGTATATTAATGGTTGCACATTTATGTTTTTATATATATATTATATGCTCAGCAATTAAAAGTGAAATTTAGTAACCAATTAAATGATTCCACATCATGAGAGATGGATTGAATGAAAACAAAATATAAGTGATATTTTAGCATTACTCTTAAAATAATAATGATTATATTCAAATTATTGAAAAAAGTAATACGCAGTATATAATTTTGATTTTTGAAATGTGTTATGGATTTCTATTATCTATAATTTTGCTATCAGATTGTTGGTATAACTCATAAAATATTATTGGAAGAGAGGGAAGCTATAAACCACTATTTAAAAACATAGCACAAGGGCAATTTGGTCGGAGTAAAATGCAAGGTACAATACCTATTGCATGATGTACAATCGTTATGGACAAAAAGGACAAAAATTAAAAAATTAAGGGTGTATCCTTCATTGGCGTTTTATATACACACACATAATGAAATTATTGAAGAAAATAAAACTTCTAAGAAACAATACCCCGTATATATATAATTTTGAAGTGAGTTTCTATTTTTATAATCCATAATTGTTTTTATTAGATTCATGATATATATCTCATAAAATACTATTAGAAGAGATAGAATTATAAACCATTGTATAAAACTTAATACTGAAAGACAATTTGGTTAATTAAACATAATACCATGAGGGCAATTTGGTCAGAGTATAATATAAAGTACAATGTTGCACATAATATAAAACATAAACCTGATGTTCAACTATAAGTCTATATAAAACTTCAATTCATGCATGCATCAAGACTGACCATATATTGTGATCAATCTCATCTTATTTATACAATTATAAAACAAATTTCACTTTTAGCCATTAACTAATGTACGTGGTAATTTATTATGGTAATATGATGTTGTCATATTTAGTCTCGTTCTTTATTTTTGTCACATTACATCATTGATTTTTCATTTGCTTGTAACAATTAGTCATCTTTTTAAAAATTTGTTATCCTATCATTTAATAAATATTACTAATATGTAATTTAATTATTCAATTTTAAAAGTTTACAAGAGAGGGAGATAAATTAAATGTTGGGGCAAGAGGGTTGAATGGTAAAATTACAAATTAACCCACTTTATTAAATTGTGAAATGACAAAAATTTATATGGAAGATTAATTGTGACAAGCTAAGCAAATAAAATTTAAGGATATAATGTGACAAAAATCACAAAATTAAAAAAAAATAATAAGATTAAATGTAACAATGTCACAATAGTCGAAGACTAATAATAGTGAAATTTTTTTGTCCCATTTCTAATTTCTTTCTTTCGTTTCTTTGTATCCATCAGTTTGAACTATTAGTTTCATAATAATGCATTCATCTATTTGACGTTTTATAAGTCACTACTTAATTTATATTTATAGGTAGAAGTTTTTTGTCTCTAAATATAAAATTATGTGACATAACTCCTAGTTCAAATAAAATAAGCGTAAGATGAGGTATATGTTTTTTTTTAGTGTCAAATAATTAATAATAAGAAAAAGGTAGGATTTGAAGCTTAATCAGTGATGATCAATTGAATTGATAAATGGAGTGTTGCTAGGCAGTCAATAGGGAGTAAGTTGTTCCAGACTGTCTTACAATGGACTTAAGGATTGTTTAAGCCACAAAAAACATTTAACAATATTTGTAATTGGGGTATTAGGTGGGATTTTCCACCTATCACTTCCACTTTATTCACCAATCATCATTGTCAAAGAGCTCAGGTTGCCTTTCTTCTTTTAATAATCATAGTACTAATAATGAAAAAAAAATAAAAATCATACTGGCTTCTTCGGTAGCTTTTTTTTTTTTATTTAGTTTATGAACAGATACTACATTGTAATAGAGTCAGTAACATTCAAAAAAGTTGTAAAATTTTTCAATGTAAAAATGTGGGTGAATTTATCATGAAAATTTTGGAATTCCAGAAAAGGAAAGAGAGCTGGGAGTGGCACAAAGTGAAAACAAGGGATTGAGAGCAACAGAACAGCTCAAGGACAAGGCTCTTGAAGAGGTACTCATGAAAATGTCTTAAACCAGACAATAGTTAAGAAAAACAAAATTTGTTCCTCAAGTGTAACTTTTTATGTTTTTTTTTTTTTCTTTTTTTCCAGCTTGGTAATGAAGTTAAGAGACTGGAAGAGAAGTTGAAAATCAGTGAAAACCTTGTTGAACAAAAGGTTTGCCAGTAATCTGTTCTACACTTCTACTTCATTCAATTCTGTTGTAAATTCAAGTAAAAGGCATGCAGCAAAGCAGATGTAATCTTGTCGAAATCTTTGATCCAAAATCGATGCAGAATCTCGAAACCAAGAAGCTAATCAATGAGAAGAAAGAAGCCCTAACAGCACAATATGCTGCAGAAGCAGCACTAAGAAGAGTATATGCTGAGCAGAAGGAAGATGACTCCATTCCCATTGAATCTGTCATTGCTCCCCTTGAAGCCGAGATCAAGATGTACAAGAACGAGGCACGTTGACGTTCAAAATTCTTTTAAGTTACTGAACATAACATAATTTCTCATGTTAAAACCGTACCGTTTCCAGATTGCAGCATTGCAGGAGGATAAAAGGGCAATGGAACGGCATAACAAGTCGAAAGAAGCAGCCTTGCTGGAAGCTGAGAGGATACTGAAGAGTGCCCTGGAGAGAGTTCTCATAGTAGAGGAAGTTCAAAATCAAAATTTCGAGCTTAGGAGACAGATCGAAATCTGTCAGGCAAGAAATTTTCAGTATCGGTGAAGTTAATGTTCGTTATTCCTCTCATCTGATGCAAATTTGAACATGCATTCAGGAGGAGAACAAAATCCTTGACAAGACAAATCGTCAAAAGGTATTGGAGGTTGAAAGGCTGAGCCAAACGATTCTGGAACTCGAGGAAGCCATTCTTGCCGGGGGTGCAGCTGCCAACACTATTCGTGACTATAGACGACAGATATCTGAGATACAAGTAAAAAAAAACTAATCATATATATATATGCCAACATGTTTGATCCCTATCAGATCAGTTTTTCTGCAAACTAATTAATATATCATCTGATCTTAGTTTTTTTTCTGGAAACTTGTTATATATAGGAAGAGAGGAGGACACTGGAAAGAGAACTGGCAAGAGTAAAGGTGTCTGCAAATCGAGTGGCAACTATCGTGGCAAACGAGTGGAAAGATGAGAATGACAAAGTTATGCCAGTAAAACAGTGGCTAGAAGAGAGAAGGATATTGCAGGTTTCAAACTTTCCGATCCTGGCTGGTGTTATAGGCCGGGATATCTAAAATCGCGTCACAAGCGTAGAAACTTAGAAATAAAAACGAAGCTGGAGTGCTTCTGCATATAACCATTAATGTGCAATCCAACTATCAGTCTAGGCTTTTAGTTGAGATGGAGCACATGCTTCAATTTGGTATCAGAGCCAGACCAAAGGTCATGGGCGACTACAGTCCACGTGTTGCTTGGAACTCATCGCACACGTGAGGGGGCGTGTTGAGCATACCCGCTGGCCTGTTTAGATTCAAGATCTGTTGTTTAATTATATGTTGTTTTGGATTTACAGGCGGAGATGCAGCGGTTGAAGGACAAGCTTGCCATATCAGAGAGAACAGCAAAGGCAGAAGCACAGCTGAAAGTAAAAAGTCTCACAAAACAAAACCAATTTTGAGGTTTTGAAATGGTAACATTTTGGTTTTGGCTGCAGGACAAGCTGAAGTTAAGGTTGAAGACTCTTGAACAAGGGTTGAAACAGACAGGCAATAACAACGTAAATCCTAAAGTGTTGAGTGGATTCTCAAAGCCCGAAAAAGCCAACCACTTATTCGGAATTCTGTCAAGCAAGAAGAGGTCTGCATCACAGCCAAGAGCCTCCATGGTTAACACAACTTCAGAGCAAGAAAGTAGTTCAGAGAATTCTGGTGAATATAATGATCAGAAAAAGAGACATCATGGCCTGTGGTATTCCAGAAACAAGATTGATGAAAAAGAAAATGCAGGGATGAAAGAGAACTCTGATAAACTGACAGATTCAGGGAATTTCAGTAAAAACGACGAGGATATGGTATCCGGATTCCTTTATGACAGGCTTCAGAAAGAGGTCATAAACATGAGGAAATGCTTTGATATGAAAGAAAATGATTTGAACACCAAAGACGAAGAAATCAAGGTCAAGTATCTATCTATCTATCAGATCAGTAAACACATACAAACACGTACTACTACCTAACTTCATATTTAATTGCAGATGCTAACAAAAAAGATTGAGACACTGACAAAGGCCATAGAAGTGGAGTCTCGGAAAACAAAGAGAGAAGCAGCAATAAGAGAAAAGGATTCATCAACAATAAAGTATAAGTATGATGGCAACATAAGACAAACAAACTCCTCATTAAAGAGGTCTGCAGTAATCAATCTAAATACATCTTTCTTTCATTTTGTTTATGCGATTGTTGATAATTAACAAGTTAATTGTTGATGTTTTCCAGTTCAATCAAGGTGGCAAAAACATAAGATGTAAAGCAGGTGGCCTGCTCCAGTTTCGCGAGTTCCGATCTTGGTTGTACATATGAATGAATGATTCTTGTTTGGGTGCAGTGGAAAAAATAAAAACTACCAATTCATTTGTAAAAGAGGATCGAGTCAAGAAAGAACCTCCATGAATCTTGAAGGCCATAATGTCTCTTTTTTACACTGCTATTTTTCTCCCTAGATTTTACATGAATGGCATTCAATAAAAGCATTTTGATTTGATTTGTTAATAATTCCTAAGCACTACTTCCACCAAATGAAAAGTTCGCACAGATATATGTTCCACCCCCATTAAAAAGGGGCTGTTTCTTTGATTGCCGTATGGTCGTATATATGTATATAGTATGTTTTGCATATATAGCTTTAAAATATTTCTCCTATAAAGAAATTGCAATGACACTATTAATAAAACTATTAAAAAAAAAAAAACAGCCATGGCTACTGTTCCTTTAAAAATAGAAAACTATAATGGATTCATTGATGGGATACAAGGCGTATAGTACATAGCACATATAGCATATGGTATTCATGCTGCTCAGACTAATACCAATAAACCTGATGGAATAATTACGGAGCGGATCTGGGCGACGTAATATGAAGCGAATCAGACCCGGAACCCGACTTGATTACGCACGCGGCCGGACGGACCATGGAGGAGTCTACCTCCCCGGGGTTCTCGGCTACTACCATAGGGTCATCGGTTACTATCACGGGGTCCTCGACTACTATCACGGAGTCCTCGGTAGTACCACGGGGTCCCCGGCTACTAGCACGGAGTCCTCGGCCACTACCACCCTGGGGTCCTTGACCACCTTGGGGTCGGCTACCCCGGGGTCGGCCAACATGGGCTCGGCACCCGGGGTCAGCCCACATAGGCTCAGCCACCACGGGGTCGGCCAGCACGGGCTCGGTCACCCGGGGTCGCCCTACGTGGGGTCGGCTCGGCCAGGGACGAGGTCTCCGCGTTGTCCGAGTCATGCGGCTATTGTTGCGGCCCAAGGCGGTTGGGGTCATCTCCAACGGTTTCTCCGGGGTTGTTTTGGCGACATAGGCTATAAAATCCCTCCTTGATGTCCTAATCAAGGCATCTTCTACCTTCTTACAATAGTTGTCTTGTTATTACAAGTCTCGAACCTCTGTAATAGCACTATACACTCGATTAATGCAATATTCGTCCCCATGATGCTTATTCGTACATTGTTTCAACCCCTATTCTCGTTTTATTATTTATTTATTATATTGGATCATATATTCAGGTTGTATAATCCAGACCCCCGGGTTCATATAATCCATCATTGGTGCTCTTGTTGAGAGCGGTTGTACAAGCTTAAGCGCTCTCCCTACTATTATCCACGCCACAACGATGGCAAGATCGGGGTCGAACACCCGCAATTCACATAATTCATGCCACACGCGTGACCTCTCCCTCGCTAACCACCCCAACGGGACGGCGACGGCAAGTCGGCAGACCGTGCCTGTGGGAACGGGAGGGGACCTCAGGGATCAGATCAACGGGAACCCACAAGGGGTGGTGGAGGACCTCCAGGGTTAGCTCAACAACAACCGCCCCCACGGTGAGCTAGCCCCGCCCATTGCGCGCCCGATCTTGAACCCACAAGACGAGGCGGTCGCACTCGAACAGGCAGCGACCACGTTGAACCGCGTCGCGGAAAGGCTCCAACAGGGTGCCCCGGCACCTCCACCCCCGCCACCGCCGCAGGGACGCAGTGGCCCAAGCACTCATGTGCTCCGAGCACCTGAAGCACCGGCGGACGAAGAAGTCAACTCGCCACGACCGTCGGAAAGGAGAGATGACACGGAGACCAACAGAGGCCGGCGCGAACAGCGAGAGGAGGGACGAACTCGGCCGACCCGCGCCACATCCGTCCTAGGGCGGTTGGGCCCTAGGGTGCCGGCGCGAGACCGCCTTGGGCCGAGGTCGACAGTGCAGCCCGCAGATTCGTCACTTTCACGGAGGTCCCGATGCCATGATCCCCGCCTCCAAGGCGCCACGAGCAGACCTCACGGCTTGAGCGGTTGGGAGAAACTCTCGACTGACCCCCAAACTCCCAGCATGACGAGTTGGAACAACTACGCAGGCAGATGCGTGAGCTGCAACGCATGACGAATCACCGGAGTCTCGAGATGCCCTAGCCACACCTTTCACAGAGGACACCATGGCCGAGCCTTTGTCTTGAGATTTTCGTCTCCCGACCAGCAAACCCTACCCGTGGGGTCGGGAAAGAACCTCAAGGATCCGATCAACAGCAACCACCAAGGCGGGCTGGCTGCGCCTATCCTACCTTAGATCTCGGGTCTTCAAGAAGGAGTAGACGCGCTCCAACAAGCTACCACCTTGTTGACCCACTCCATGGAGGGGCTCTAAGGAGGTGTCCAACCCCCTCCACTCAGCCTCGAGACATCTTGGGAGACCTCAATCCTCCTAAGGTGTGGTATGACCCCACGTTGCCAACCTCAATTCCGTGAAGGGGGAGAGACCCCAGCTAGCCCTACTTTGGTTCATGGCCGACCTCAGCTTGATCAAACCCCTCTTTTTGTCGAGTACGCGTTGAGAGACTCGACTTGTCTCGGATGTACATACTCATGATTTTCGAGTTCACACCCGAGATCTCATCCTTCTCCCATCCTCCGAGAAGCCAAGCTCAAGGCTTGTTGAGTTCAGCTCGAGGAACTTGGAGGAGCTTGAGATCGGCCGCCACGACAACGAAGCACGAGCTCGGCTACCGAGAGCACGAGCTCGTCCAACATGAGAATGAGGAGCCCGAGCTCAACCATCGAGAGCACGAGCTCGGCCGCCATGAGAATGAGGAACCCGAGCTCGGCCACAATAGGACCTTGCACGGGTCCTCCGGACCTTGAGGAGTCCGTCGAACCTTGCGGGATTCCTTCACACCTTGTAAGGGTTCGTCAGACCTTGCAAGGGTCCGCTAGACCTTGCAAGGGTTCTCTAGACCTTGCAAAGGTGCTTTAGACCTTGTAAGGGTCAATCTGACCTTGCAAGGGTTCTCTTAGGGGCGATAGGATGTCCAACCTCGCCTATCGCCGAACAAAAGAGCTTTTGGGTCCAAGTCAAAAAACTTTGGCCACGAAGAACTCGAGCTCGACCACCAAGAGAATGAGGAGCCCGAGCTCGGCCGCCATATCTACGAAGAGCCCGAGCTCAGCCACCAAGAGAATGAGGAGCCCGAGCTCGGCCGCCAAAACTATGAGGAACCCGAGCTCGGCCACCGAGAGCACGAGCCCAGCCAACAAGATAATGAGGAGCCCGAGCTCGGCCACCACGACTACGAAAAGCCCGAGCTCGGCCTCCGAGAGCCCAAGCTCGGCCGCCACAACTATGAAGACCCCAAGCTCGGCCACCAAGAGACCAAGGACTTTGCAAGGGTGCTTCAGACCTCGTAAGGGTGCTTCAGACCTTACAAGGGTCCGTCAAACCTGGCGAGGGTCCTCCAGACCTTGCAAGGGTGCTTCAGACCTTGCAAGGGTTCTCCCGACCTTGCAAGGGTCCATCAGACCTTGCAAGGGTTTGTCAAACCTTACAAGGGTCCTTCAGACCTTGCAAGGGTCCTCTAGACCTTCCAGGTATCCTCCAGACCTTGCAAGGATCCTCCAGACCTTGCAAGGGTCGTCCTAGGGGAGATACGAGGTCCAACCTCGCCTATCGCCGAACGAAAGAGCTTTTGGGTCCAAGTCAAAGGACTTCGGCCACCGAGAGCACGAGTTCGGCCACCATGAGAATGAAGAGCCCGAGCTCGGCCACCAAGAGAAGGAGAAGCCCAAGCTCCCGCCGAAGCGTGATCCCACCCCACCGGGTCGAAGAGTACGACCCCGACCTCAATGAGAAACACCACGCCACCGACCTCCACCTCATTGACGATAAAAGGGAAGACGCCATGGGTCGCGCAGAAAATTACCCGCGCCAAGCAAAGGCGTACCACGACAAGAGAGTTCGACCTCGCTACTTTCAAGTCGGCAACTACGTCCTCCGGAGGAGAGAAGCCAGCCGACCTCAGGACGGAGGCAAGTTCGCCAAAAAATGGGAGGGGCCATACGTGATCGAGGCGATAATACGCCCGGGCAGCTACAAGTTAAAGACCCAAATGGCAAGGCAGTAGATAGAGTATGGAACTCGGAGCACTTTTATCAATAGATGCACCTTTGTAAGGCGGTTCGACCCCTTAATAATTCTCGCTCGTAATGAAATAACAAATTTCGTTGTGCAATTGTCTTACGGCAAATCGAGAAAGAATACGTGGCAACCAACCTAACAAGTCCGACTCCGCGGTCGAGAGAACACCGTCGACCCATGGCCGGACACCACGGGGTCGGCCGCCTCAGAGTCGGCCACCACAAGGTCGGCCACCTCAGGTTCGGCCACCCCGGGGTCGGCGTCCAGCTAATCAGCCGCTTCCGCGGGCAACCCCAGTAGCCAGCATGAACACCTTAGACCTAAGGGCGATACGAGGTCCGACCTCGCCTATTGCCGAACGGAAAAGCTTAGGGGTGCGAGTCGGAGGACTCCAACCCATAATCGCTAAATACCCTAGGGGCGGTACGAGGTTCGACCTCGCCTATCGCCGAACAGAAGGATTTGGGGTGCGAGTCAAAAGAATCCAACCCAAGAATCGCTAAAACGTCCTAAGGGCGATACGAGGTCCGACCTCGCCTATCGTCGAACAAAAGGATTCGGGGTGTGAGTCAAAAGACTCCAACCCAAGAATCGCTAAAATGTCCTAAGGGCATTACGAGGCTCGACCTCGCCTATGGCCGAACGGGCGTAGCGCAATCTAATGCCCTAGGGGCGATAAGAGGTCCGACCTCGCATATCGCCGAATGGAAGGATTCGGGGTGCGAGTCAAAAGACTACAACCCAAGAATCGCTAAAATGTCCTAAGGACAGTACGAGGCCCGATCTCGCCTATCGCCGAACCAGCGTAACGCAATCTAATGCCCTAGGGGCGATACGAGGTCTGACCTCGCCTATCGCCGATGTAACACCCCTGATTTCCATGCCATTTTAAACTTAAATATGTAAGATAATATAACCACAATATAAGCAAAACACAGTGGAAGTCTAACTATATAAAACTAGAAAACGAAGAGTGTTATGTCACGTCCACGCTAAGGTGAACGCATAGGCAAGAACATCATCAACATCAACAGTCTAAAAGTCTAGCAAGAGACAAGGTCAAACCAACAACAATCTATTGTTCATCATAAGAGGCACACAGACCCATAACAAAACTAATAGAGTCCGGGGAACTACACTAGCCATCTCTATATCGCGCTCGCCACTACTCGGGACCTGAAAAGCACATAAATAAATGGGATGACGCCCGGTCAGCCAATGATGCTGGTAACCCACCATTACATGTCAAGTATCATACATAGATATAGTATATACAAAATCATTTTTGAAACGGAATACTATATATATAAGTTCAAAGCCAAAGATAGAAGTCAACCACAAGACTCTATATCACTCACAATAAGAAGGAGGGAAAGCACATCCCAAGACACATCAAGATGTAACAACGAAAACACGAGTAAGGCTCAAAGTGTATTCTACCATCACTCAGTAGAATATCACCCGACATGCTCAACACAAGAGAATATAGAGACACACATTGGCAACACATGCCTTCGTGACATCACTCGTCATGAATAGAGAAACACACAGCGGCAACACATGCCTTCGTGACATCACACATCACGAATCAATATTCCTTCCTTATGCCCGGTTCCAACCTTATGGCTACCCCCAACCTTATAGCTAGTTCCAACCATTACCTCCAGGACCCCTGTACATCCAAGTCCAACCTTATCCCTCCGAGGACCGTCGTCCCCATCCACTAACAAACCACCAACAATTTCCACCAACAAAAGTACACGAGGGTACCAATCACACACAAGGCTACAGCCACCCAAGAATACGTGAACCCGACACACAGGTCACAAACTCCATAATCACGTCATGGCCACCACGAGGACCACTGCCGTACCTTGGTGACTAATGTCCCATACCATTAATCGTGCAATCCAGGTACAGCCACACACTCAACACCATCATAGGAATCAATCAACGGATCACAACGAAGATATGAAACCATACTCAATAAGGAAAGAATCTCAATCCGACAACAACGATGATCAACACAAGTCATCATCCACGATAGGAAAGAACAAACCACACACGCTAGCATTTAAACACTGAACTAGTATGCTTATCAAACGGGTAAACTAAACATAGTTTCGGAGAACACACAAGACTCATCATGGTTCAACGAATCACAAGGTTGAACACTTAGCACAATTCAAGACACCAAAACCTACATGGAATCCTACCATATAGTTCTAGACATACGAAACATCAAGAAGACACTCAAAAGCTCAACAAAAGAACATCGGGAAGTCAAAACATCAATTACCGAGCCAAAAGAATCAGGGGAACAAATCCCCACACTCACAATACTGTACTCGCGGGTGGAGCCACGGGTAGACCCCCATCCGTGGTTCCGCCGGCGGGAACCATGTCCCACGAGGTGTGTACCGTGCGGGTGGGGCGGCGGGTGGACCCCTACCCGCCGTTCTGCCCGCGGGTACCATACCCCCTACAAAAAATCCCTTCGGGGATTTTCAACACCAAGCTCAAATTCAAGTCCAAAACACCCAAAATCTCACCAAATACAACAAAATGACTTGAATCAAAGGAATAGCCAAGCAAAGGCATGCAAGAACGCTAATAACAAGCTCTAGATATGCATTTTCACAAGACAATGCATCAACACTCACATTTCATAGTAAAATCACAAGTAGAATCCAAGGAATCCTCATATAGGTAAGTAAAATAGATTTTGTAAAGCATGTGTTACCTCTTGAAGACTAAACCTTCACTTATAACACTTCTCAAAGCTCCTAACAAGGTTCACCTTCAACACCCACTTCAAGAACACACCAAAAGACCATAAAGATTTCATCTTTAGAAAAAGATACCTTAGAAAGCACTAAAAACACAAAAGGAACATAGATCTTACCCTCCTAGATGCTCAAGAGTAGGAAAGGTGGAATCTTGGAGACAAACTTTGAAGATCTTGAAAACCCCAAACTTAGCTTGAAGGAAAAGCTAGCTAAATTTCTAGAGAGAATGAAGAACTTTTGTTTTGAAAGTGTAAGGGAAAGAATGAAAGGTGTCTTTTAGGTTAGCTTGGAATACAAACATGAGGTGAAATGTCTTATTACCCTTACTAAGATGAAGAAGTGTAAGGGAACAAGGGAACTATCCACAAAGCTTTTAGTACAACACCTTGACTTGTGTTGACTAGTCAATTACTAGTCCCCGACTATTGAATTTTCATGAATTTAAAGAATAAATTACCAATTGGATTAGGATTAATTACTTAATTAATCGCTAAATAGGATTTGGATTTGCGGGGTGTCACAGCCGAACAAGCACAACGCAACCACAAGGGGCCAGCCAAAGCAACGGTTATCAGAAGGTCGGGCTACGCCAACCCCCCGAGTTGTCGGGCCCACGGGGTCGGTTGGCCGACCCCATTGCATGCCAATGAGCGTCACTCGGGTTATGAGTGTATCGACTGAGTCTATTTACCGCAAGAGCGATTTCAGGCCTGGTGTAGTTCATCAAGAACGTCAAACTTCCAATTATTTGTGCATATTCTTCTTGAGACACGCCTGTCTCTGTATTTTTTGACAGTTTCACACTCGGATCATACGGGGTTTGTGCCGAAGTCACTTCGAAGCTATCAAATCTCCTTAATAGATTATATGTGTAGTGACTTTGTGATAACTACTTGTAGCCATCTTCATTTTTTATGACTTTTACTCCAAGTATCACATCAGTTTCCCTCATATCCTTCATGTTAAATTTATCACATAGAGACTCTTTAATCTCTCTTATCGCATCTATATTGGGACTAAAGATTAACATATCATCTACATAGATACATATAAGAACAATGCTTGAGACAATCTCTTTTGAGTATAGGCAAGCATCCGATCTGTTTAGCGAGTAGCCCAGATCTATCAGTGTCTTATGAAACTTCTCATACCACTGTTTGGGGGCTTGTTTTAGCCCGACAAAGATTTTATTAGTCTACATACCTTTCCCGTTTGCCCTGCCTCAATGCACGCAGGTGGTTGATCCATGTAGATCTCTTCCTCTAGATCCTCATTTAGGAAGACTGTTTTGACATCCATTTGATGGATTAACCAGTTGTGGGAGGAGGCCAAGGCAAACAACACACGAATTGTGGCTATTTTAGTCACGGGGGAATAGGTGCATAAGTAGTCTTCACCAAACTTCGGTTTATACGCCTTTGCTACAAACCTGGCTTTGAACCTTTCTATTGACCCGTCTGATCTTAATTTTCTTTTAAAGATCC